GTCGCGGCATAGTGGTTGTGGTGCAGAGCGTTGGGTCGGGTTGGGTGGGGCGTTCAGCTTACTGATGTTTCCAGCTTACTGATAGAACACGTTAAGCTTTTCCTCTTAGTAAGCAGTGAGGTGGTCTGTGTGTTTTTTATTTTTCGTGAGTGAGACGTGTTCAAATTAGCTACTTTACCAGCTTCTAGCTCTATAGCGCGTGGGCTGCACGGCTTGGTGCTAGTTATAATCGATTGCTTGGGATGGATTTGTATATATTTAGCTGAAATTATACCTATTCTAATTCCACCTTTATGTTAGTAGTGTGTTGGGGACGAAGAGATGATAGCGGGAAGAGCACTCTTAGCTAACGATGACTGGGTACGTAGCTTCCGCAAGTTTTAATGAGTGCCGCTCTAAGTTTTGCTTGCTCGTTTTGTCAAGAGTATGGGTGTCCTTCTTTAAGATAAGGTCTTACAGCGATATAAGACCATCCGGTGATACTAGTGTTATAGGCGTTTTTAACACCGCATCTTCTTGACAAGGCGCTTCGTTGATTACCATGGGAGCTAGTTCGGCTGGAGGTTTCGGCACAGTCCTTCTGGGATGAAGCGGGGCGGGGTGGATCAACAGCCACACCGCGTCAGCTGTCTGGCATGCCTGTCACTCTGGGCATAGTTGCGCAGAACGCGGCCGAAGCCGAGTAGAATTGAAGCAAATTGAATCAATCTATGCTTATTCTTTCTATCCCTACACAGTATAGGAAGCACTTTAAAGTTCGCGATAGGGCCGCATCATACCTAAGTTATGCCGAAGTCTGCTAGTCAAGGTGGCCTTTGAACTTAAATGATTTCTCAAACGATACAACCCGGTCTCCTTCTAGTTATTCCCCTTTCGTATCCATTCTTCTATGAGTATATATATTATTACTTTGTTCAGCTTTACATACAAGCCGTATTACACCCGTTAAGCTTACTATCGTGTGCCTTTTCTGTCATATGTATACTGAAATTTCCATTAATACACTGAAATAGCTTTCAGTAAGCCATAATGACATGATTAGCTGGAGCGGAACGCTGAATACTGTTAGACACCAGAGTTATGTCCGAAAGAAGCAACTATTGGGATAGCCCTATGAGCAATACAAAGCTCAATATGTGTACAAGTAGGCCAGATCTTTCTGAGAAATGGTACAGGCTTGTTAGAAGATCAGTGTTAGTGGCACGTTGGGCCGTTCTAATAAGGGTACTGGCCGTAACCCTATTTACACTATCACATCCACACCAGGAATGCACGACTCGTATTTTGCCTTCGATACAAGACGTGTCCCCTTGCGCTCCAGCATGGACCAACTGTGGATATTCACCTGTGGAGGCACGGAGACGTGGATGCAAATTCGATGTTCTAAGCTTTGCATGGCAACTACCAGCATGCTACGATAGTAAGACTGTGGAGGATTTTATGGCAGAGAAGGATTGGGAATTTTTCAAGTTTCCTAACAAGACATCTCTAATCTCTAAAGAAGCCGCGCTTACAGGAGAATATACACTGTACGTTACGCAGGAGTATCATCGTGTACAATGTATGTACATGTGGCGACAGATGCACCGAGCTTTCACTATTACAAAGTATATCGATAGCCACCTAAACGATTGGCACCATACTCTACAGTGTCATAGTATTATACTCGGCGAAAGATTATCGATAGAGTCAAGTGGCGCTATTAGGGAGATAAAGTATCCTGAATGCTCTTTAGTCGTCTGAAGTCCATATCTCAATGTAAGAATGCTTTCCCATTACTACGCATATGAGGACAACGCCTTTGTTTACTTTTGTATTAAAATATTCAGTGTGCATATATATTATTGAGGTAACTTTTGTGACGAGTCGAAGGCTCTTTGGTAGAGCCTCTCGATGATATCTCGGTGCGCGATCACAGAACCCGGGTATAGGTCTTAGCATCCGGATTCTGCTCACCCAAACCGCGTTCGGACGCAACATTCAGACATGACGCTTAGATTAAAGGGAGAACGTATTTTTCCGATCCGTACGTAGACATGGGCTCCTGAGTAGATAAATGTTAGCTCCCTATCGAATAATTACAATCTTGTTACACCTGGCATTGCCCTTGGCATAGCAATCTGTTGAGCCCAGCCCCTTGCAGGGCCGGCCGAGTAGTTATTCCAACACTGCAGCATTAAGAGCGACCTTAATTGCTTAGCTGTAAGCAAATGAACAGCATCAGGAAACGTTGTACTGCGCCGTTTTTTTAATGATTCTATATTATCGACGTCTGCTGGATAAAAATGTTCATGTGCAGAAACATCCCGTAAGTCACTGGGTGCAGCCAGCGGCTTACAAATATTGATTAAAGTCACTCAGTGTGGTACTGCCGAAGCACCGCTGAGGTCGTTAGTTCGACTCTAGTAAACATCCCAATAGTTGCGTTGTAACAACCAGTTTGTGATAGAGGTACTCTTTAGTCTAGATCTTGGCATTTCGGACACATGCTTGCCGCAGACGATAAAATGCCGTCTTGATTTACTGTATTGGTGAGATTATTATGGTATTGCATGACGTCACTGTAAAGGCGGGGCGATGTGACCCACTCAGTAGGGAAACCCTTTATAATCTAGAAACAATGAATCGAATCGCAAGGATTGCAAAGACCTTGAACTTCTCCATAGCCCCTGCGAGCTAACCAGTCGTTCCACCGCGCAGGGACGGGCGTATGTGAGGACCTATGAGCAGGGCCCGTGCACACAGTCCGGGCGTAATACGGCCAGT